GATGGGAGAACAGGAGCAAAAAGGAACAGAAGCAAGCAGTGTTGAACACACACACTCACACACACACAGTAGTCAAATCTTCCATTGTGGAAGAGGCAGGGTACTATCATGGAAAAAACACTGACATTGGGGTCAGAGGAAGTACTAATTGTATAACTTTTTTACCTCTCTGGGTCTAAATTCTTCATATGTAAAATGAAGAGATCAGACTAGTTGGCTTCTGAAACCACTTCCAGTTCTAAATCTATGATCTTATGATGATTTTCCCCACCCCAATCCAAATACATCAGATATCTTGGAAATATCCACTAAGATTTATGTATTGTGATGATAAATTGTTTTAATCTATAGCCTTTAAGATCAAATATTGAATTAAACTGAATTTGGAAACAGATTTTCAAATTACCATTTCACAAAATATAAGAACTAGATTTTCAAAAAACAGTGAAGCATATTCAACACATTACTAAGAAGAAATTATAATTTTTTGTGAGAGAAAAAAGGTTTTTGTATTACAAACTAAAAACTATTTTAAAATATTACTTGATTCATCTTTATCTCATCATCTAAAATTTATTTTTGTGTATTTTTTCATAATAAACATACTATATGTATAATTATAAATCAATGTGTGAATAAAAAATAGTTTGAGGATCACCACTCTAGAAGGTATTTTGGATATTTTAGCATATAGAAAACTAGCTTAAAAGTCAGGAAGGTCTAGGTTCATTGCCAGTTGTATGAAAGACCCTGGGGAAGTCATTGAACCACTTGGTGACATAAGGAGTCTGAAAATTGCAGAAAAGGTGCTAATTTGCATTGGTAGAGGAGGTTACCAAAGAAATGACAAGTATATATATATATATATATATATATATATATATATATATATATATATATATATATATATATATGCCTATATGTCTATGTGAATATGTATATATCTCATATATGTGAATGTATCTATGTATACGAATCATATATATTTTGTTACATATACATACAGAATAAGGATTGAGAAAAGGTCATTGGATAGGGGCAGCTAGGTGGCGCAGTGGATAGAACACCGGCCCTGGATTCAGGAGGACCTGAGTTCAAATCCGGCCTCAGACACATAACACTTACTAGCTGTGTGACCCTGGGCAAGTCACTTAACCCCATTGCCTAGCAAAAACAAAACAAAACAAAAAAAAAGAGAGAGAAAAGGTCATTGGATTTCACAACTGAAAAATAATTGGTAAATTTGGAGAGAGCAGTTTCAGTTGAATGATGAGATCAGAAGCCAGGTTGTAGAGTTAAAAAGTGAGAGATAGGAAAGGAATTCGAGGCATAGATTGTAAATTGCCCTCTCAAGGAGTTTAGCTATGAAAGAAAGATATAGCATGATAGCTATCTGGGATAGACAGATCAAGTAAGGTTTTGGGGAGGATGGAAGAGACGTGAGTGTATTTGTAAGCAGTTGGAAAGCAGCCAACAGGGAGATATTGAAGAGAAATGACAAGAGGGGTGGTAGAGGAGGTCATCTGGAAAAGACAGACTGGAATGGGATCACTTGTGCATGTAGAGGGGTTCCTTATCAGGGAGAAAGAAGCACCTCTTTATGTGAGACAGGGCTAAAAAAAAAAGATGGTGGAAGGCATCTGAACAATGTGAGATGAGGAGAAAGAGATAAGAGGGAATTTTCAGCAAATACTTTCCTTTTTTAAGTGAAAAATGAGGTAAGGTTCTCAGAGGCAGCTGGTGGCACAGTGCATAGAACACTGGGCCTGGAGTAAGGAAGACAGTTCAAATCTGGCATCAGATATTTACTGTGTAACCCTGGGCAGACCACTTAACCTCTGCTTGCATTGATTTCTTCAACTGTAAAATGGGGATAGTAATAACGCATACCTCACAGGGTTGTTGTAAGGATCAAATGAGATAATATTTATACAGTGTTAGCACAGTGCCAGGCACATAGCATACATTAGCCTAATGCTTATACCCCAACCTCTTCCCTTTCTCAGCTGAGAAAGTCAGGATGCTGTGGGAGGTTTCAGAAAGGACAAAAAGGTTTAGAAAAGCACCTACAGGATAGTGACCCGGGAGATGTAACAGATTGCCTTGCCCCAGTAAGGAGCTCAGTTTAAATTATGTAATAAATTTGTAGTGGAATTAACACAATTTCATGATTTTCTCCAGTTCCACTTAGTAGCACATGAGTTGTTCATCCTTCATTTTAGAAGAGGACCAATGACATCACATGAGAAAGAGTAAAGACAGTCGGTGGTGGGAATAATATATGGCTGAGGTATGTCAAGTCAAGAAATTCCATATAATAGAGTGCAAGGGAATGGAGAAAAGAGGATGGTATAGAACATGCATATGATTTGATTTGTTACCCTGTGATATTTTAAATGGGCACCACCATTGAGAAATCTTATGGTAGAAATAAATAAAACATTGCTTTCTTATTAAATCCATGAGTACACTCTTATGTGCTGTCACATTCACTTGTTTTATTATAATAAATTTTTAAAGTTCATTTTAATCATTCTCTAGGTAATCTCCTATAAAATATGAACCTGACCTAATTCAATCATCTTATTTGTAGAGTGCAGAATTTTTAAATCTCCCCAACATTATGCATGATATAAAGCTTTAACTAATCCTCAGAGTGAAAATAATTTGAATTGCTTAAGTAATGTTATAGAATCAGTGACCAGAAATATCTTCTGTTCTAAAGCATATTCTGCGTCTCTGATTCAACAGATTGATTTTGATAAAAATTTCTAGGATATGGCCATTCTGTAAAGCTTTGGGAATGGTACATTTATTTTTTTTAGATTTAAGATAAATTAAGAGCTAAGCAATATACTCAATCATTTAAATAAAAAGATTTGGTGATCCCACTTAATTTAGTAATTCTTTAAAAGAATAATAAATTTTCTTCAATCAAAATTCAGATAGCTGAAGCATAACATATCAATCATTTGTACAACATGTATGTAATATTAATGTATATATCTTTCTAATTTCTAAGTATTAACCAAAATTATTTGGCCTGCTTCTTAGCTAAAGTGAAAATTATAGGCTTATATAATAAACCAAAATCAGTAAATTGCAAAATACTACATAAATACTATTATTATTCCAATAAAAATTCTACAAAATTAAGAAGTAGGAAAAAACTATTTATTTGCTAATAAAATTGGTAAGATTTTCTGGAAATCATCTTCCTCTCTGGAAATTTTAGAGGACAACCTATCCACCCTGTGATTTGATGCAGTGTAAGTGTATAACCAACATTACTTTTATTCACTTTTAGTTTTTTATTCCTTTTCTGGTTTTAAAATAAACTGAAACTATTTGATTTAGTGATTAACAAAAAGTTGTCTTTTTATATAAAAATTGACAATTTAAAAATTCCAACATCATCAAGAAGTTTCTAATAACAGATTATTTAAGTAATAATTAAGGGAACATGTTTTCAAACACAAATAAAACTAATATTTTAAAATTTTAATTTGAAAAAAGATTTGTTGCTCTTATCTTACCATCTCAACGTTCCAGGAAATGTCCTAGCCAACTTAGTGTTTTGATATGCATATTGGAAACGATTTTAGTTTATCTAAATATGTGCATACTTATAGCATTTATTAAACTTAACACATTTTTAAAAATATTTACTTGAAGAGGGGTTTGTGTGGCCATTGTAAACCACACCTATGCAGGATTAATTTACAAAATACTTGAAATAGTAGTCAAGAATGTTTACAGGCCACATCACCCAAAAGAGATTCTGAATGTTAATTATCTGCTGTTTTCATATGCAAGGTACATGATGGGTAGATGACTCTACCAATGGCTATTTTATAGTTTTCTGATCTTCCTAATATTTCTTTTTTTATACAAAATTTTGTTTTCAATTAACAAGTATTTTCCTTTTCCTTTAGAAGAAAAGAGAAAAAACAAAAAGCCTTGTAACAAATACCCTGTATTTGATACTTGAAGCTGACCTTTCAAACAAGCAAAAACGACACTGTCACCTGAATCGTCATTCCCTTCCCCTTCCCTACCAAAGGGCAAAATTGTTTAATTAGAATTTTATTGTTGTCGTAAAGAAGAGAATGGCTTTGGAGTTTGATACCTGCCCCCTTTCCAACAATAACCACTTTAAACTGAATGCAATGGTTAAGTTTTCGCCTAAATCATGTGAAGTCATTAACATCAGATTTTCCCTAGGAGCTCCTAGCCACAATACGATCCGTAGAACAGCAAAAGGATTGATTAGTGAGTGCATACTGTTCCAATTTTTTTTTTAAATTTATGTAGTTCAATCTGTATGTGGTCTATTATAGTCATAAAGTTATCTCCCCGCTTTCAAAATCACTTTATCCCCCTGATCTGGATCTCTCTAAAGCGTTCACAAATTGGGGGGTGGGGGTGGAGGGAGACAGTCCATCTTCTCTCTCTCTTTTTTTTTTTTTGGTTTAGTTAGTAGATAATGAGGTTGGAAATATCCATCACAAAGAGAATTCTGAAGGTACTTATTTTTAAACCCTCCAGGAAAACTCCCTACTAGGATTTGAACTTAAAATATTTTTTATATTTGAGAGAGGAGAGAGAGAGAGAGAGAGAGAGAGAGAGAGAGAGAGAGAGCGCCAACCTGAGCTTTCTATGGAAAGCCTGCTTCTCACTATGCCCCACCCCCTTCTACTAGCACAGAGCCTCCAGAACACCCCAAAAGGCCAGAATTAAAGTGTACCTGATCCCTAGTTAATTTATAAAAACAAATGAAAAGGTGGAGTTCCAGGAAAGAGAAAGACGTTTTTGTTCCTTCCTCCATGACCCCTAAGGTGGCAACTACACAAAAGATGATGTCTTATCTAATCAATACAAATTAGGAGGAGTAGCAGCAGAAACTCCGCGCCCCAAGAGCTGCAGTTTCTGCAGCCTCTACACTGCAGGCAGTCCTCCTGGGGCTTGGATGAACTAGACTTAGGGAAGGAGAGGTTCACCTGGGATAGCAAGTTGGAAGGCGCCACCTTGGTTTCCTAGAGCCTGGCCATGCATCTGACTGCAGTCCATCGAAGGATTAAGCACTTGAAAAGCCCAATGAGTCCGATAAGGACTTCCGATTTGTTCTGCTGCTGGGCACAACTTGAGGGATACCGGACTGGATGAGAGGGGATGCTCCAGGATTTTCGCCGTGGTGTTTGCGGCTGCTGCTACTAAGGAAGAAGAAGCTGGAAGACGCTGTGGAGAGTCATCGCTGGCCCGCAGCAAGTTGTCAATTAGGAAACTCTTTCCCAGGTTCCCAAAGCCTGGAGTTGTGTCTAGTAGTGCAGAGGAGCTCAGTATATTCCAGTACACGCCAGTACAGGCAGATAAAGCACTAGGAAGCATGGTGAAGAAGAGCAGGTAGGCAAACAATTCGATCTTTCCCACGCTTTCTTCTGCTCCGCTCTTTGCTGCCGCCGGGCAGCTGCCCCTGGATTTGGTCTAAGACTCAGCCGCTACCTCCTGCTCCCTTGCCACAGCCTCCCACCAAACTAAAGCAAGCTGAGAGGGTGGAGATAGAGAGAAAGGGGACTAGGGACCATGGGAAAAGGTCGTTGGGGAAACGAATCATTATTATTTATTTGGGTTGGCTGGGGTTTTTTTAGAAGAAGGGAGGAGTAAATCGTCAGGTTTCTCAGGCAATGTGGAAATAACTCTGGGGACTTGGTAGGTGTCTCTCATTTTCTATGTTAAACAAGGTTTGTTTTTTTCCCTCGTGGACTGGAAGGTGTGTACCACTCATCTATAAAAATGTCACTCTAAGAAATTGTAGACCCAACCAACAATAAAATGTGACTCCAAGAGTCTGTACAAGAGGAAGGGGCGGAGAAGGAAAAGGTGGGAGTGGGGTCAGGGGAAACGAAATGAGAAAGTGCTTCACTCTACACAGTGAGTTTGTCAAACGCTGATTTTGCGGCTTTTCGCCCCTAAGAGAACAGAGGCAGAACAGTTTGTTCTAGCCCCAAGTAGTTTCTGGTCCTGAGCCTGCACGGAGCTCTGTCTTAGAGCCAGACTGTTCTCTGGCGCTGCCCATTCTGGGAAAACTCCTAGGACAGAGTAGACACAATGTGGGGACTGAGAAGGCTGTGATATAAAGGAATCTCTAATGATTTGTAAGAAAAGTTTCAATTGCCTAGGAACCTTTGTAAGGGAGTGCTTGGTTCGACCCCACAGGGGGAAAAAAGTACTTTTTAAAATGCCCTATTTGAATTTTTTCATCCTTGATGAGCTTATCCTTCGAGAATGAAGGACAATCAACAACAGTCCTCATTTAGAGGAGAAGCCAGTCTCCCCTCCACCACCCCCATCCATTCTACCCTACCATGGAGTCTTTCAACTTCCTGTGGTTCATTTCTGGGTATGTTTCAAATGCTATTTGTAGGGGGCTAGTGCCTTTGCCCCAGAAGTGCTGAGTTTCCAAACTAAAGGGCAGATGAAGGCAGAGCTCCTTGGGTTGGGCTTGTTCTCAAACTTTTCAAATTTATGATTGGAGAAAAGGGTTGAGGGAGCAGGAGGCAAGAGTGAGGTTGGGAAGTTTGTTGTTTTCTCCTCATAGAAAAATAAAGACCGCTGTATCACTTTGGAAGGATTAGATTTGTCCTTTCTTCATTTTGAAAACTGAAGACACATTTAATCTAGTACTATCGGGCAGTGACTTGGAAACGAGGTGAACAAATGAAGAAAATTATAAAACATGCTCTTATATTTGTAATTGGTGATCCTCCAACTATGATACAACTTGAAGAGGGCCTCTTTTACATCCTGGCATAGTCAAAAAAAAATTTCACCCTTACTTAGTTGTTGTTTTTTGTTTTGGGGGGTATTTTGTTTTTGTTTTTTGCTATTGTAGTTACAAATGATCTTTTAATTGCCCAATCAAATGGCCCTTTTTTTGGTCTTCATCCTTCTTGACCATTCTCCATCATTGAACACTATTGATTGCCCTCTCCTCCTGGAAGTTCTCTGGTTTGTGACTTTGCTCTCTCGTTATTTTCTTCCTACCTTTCTGACTGATACTTACTACTCTGTTGTACTGATTCTTCATCCAGGCCACACCTACTAATGTGTGTCTATTCAAGTCTCTCTGGTTCTCTTCTCTTTACATTCTGTACTGTCTCATCAGCTCTTATGGGTTCAATTGACAATTCTACCCACATTTTTATGTCAAAGCAGAATTTGTGGTACAGGCACACATCACCAATTGCCTAACAGTGCCTACAGTATCTGTAAGTCCTATAGGCATCTCAAACTCAGCATGCTCAAAAGATGATTTTCAGTGCAGCTAGGTGGCACAGTGGAAGAGCACTGCCCAGTCAGGAGGACTTGAGTTTAAATTCAGCCTCAGACCAAACACTTGACACTTACTAGCTGTGTGACCCTGGGCAAGTTACTTAGCCCCGGTTGCCTAAAAAAAAAAAAAGATAATTTGCTGTCTTTCCTTAAAAAAAACCACCAAACCTCTTCTTTTCCATACCTCCCTATTATTCTTTTTTCTTTTTCTAAATATTTATTTTGTTTCTTTTTACAGTTTGAGCTCCAAACTGTTTCCCTCCCAACCCTGTGCTAGAGAAGGCCAACATCTGACAGAGATACACACACACACACACACAAAAAACACACGTGCATGAGTGTGTGTGTGTGTGTGTGTGTGTGTGTGTGAAATCATACAATATATGCTTCCATATATCAATTCTTTTTCTGGGGGTAGACAGCATCTTCCTTCACAGGTCCTTTGTACTTGATCTGAATATTCATATAACTCAGAATAGCTTAGTTATTCACAGTTACTCTTGGAACAATATTGTAGTTAGTGTATATATTGTTCTCTTGGTTCTATTCCTTTCACTCTTCACTCTTCTGCAAGTCTTTCCATGATTTTCTAAAATCAACCTGTTTGTCATTTCTTACAGCACAGTAATATTCCATCACAATCACATACCACAACTTATTCAGCCATTGGATATCCCCTCAATTTCCAGTTCTTTGCCATCACAAATAGAGCTGCTATAAATGTTTTAGAATATATAGGTTCTTTTCCTTTTTCACTGGTCACCTTGGGAAACAGACCTAATAGTGGTATTGCTGAGTCAAAGGGTATATACACAGTTTTAAAATTCCTTGGGTATAATTCCAGATTGCTCTCTAAAAATGGATGGATCAGTTCACAGTTCCACCAAGGTGTCCCAATTTCTCTACATGCTCTCAAACTTTTGTTATTTTCTCCTTCTGTCATTTCAGTCAAACTAACAAATATGAGATGATATTTCAAAGATGTTTTAATTTGCATTTCTCTAATAAAGAATAATTTAGAGCCTTTTTTCATCTGACTATATACAGCTTTGATTTCTCCATCCAAAAACTGCCTGTTTGTGTCCTTTGACCATTCGTCAATTGGAGAATGATTCATATTCTTATAAATTTGACACAGTTCTCCATATATATTTGAGATATAAGGCCTTTCTCTGAGAAACTATAAGAAAAGTACTCAATTTTCTGCTTTCCTTCTAATCTTGGCTATATTGGTTTTATTTGTACAAACCCCTTTTAATTTAATTAATCAAAATTATCCATTTACATCTCACAATGTTCTCTATCTCTTGTTTATTCATAAATTCTTCTATCCATAAATCCATAAATGTATTCCATGTTCTTCTAATTTACTTATCTCACTTAAGGTCTAAGTCATATATCCATTTGACCTTATCTTTATAAATGGTGGTCTATACCTAGTTTCTACCATACTACTTTCCAATTTTCCCAACAATTGTTATCAAACAGTGAATTCTTATCCCAAAAGATTAAATCTGTACATTTATCAAACAAGATTACTATAGTCATTTGCTACTGCGTATTATATATATCTACTCTATTTCACTGTTCTATTATTCTATTTCTTAGCCAGTAGCAGATAGTTTTGATAATTACCCCTTCATAATACAGTTTAAGATCTGGCACTGGTAGAACTCCTTTCATTACTTTTTTTTCATTAATTCCTTTGATATTCTTGACCTTTTGTTCTAAATAAATTTTATCATTTTTTCTAGTTCAATAAAATAAATTTTTGGTAATTTTATTTGGATGGCAATGAATAAGCAGATTAATTTAGGTAGAACTGTTGTTTTATCATATTGACTAAGCCCACCTATGCATGATTTATATTTCTCCTATTATTTAAATCAGACTTTGTGTAAAAAGTGTTTTATAATTATGTTTATATAATTCCTGGGTTTGTCTTGGTAGTCATACTCCCAAATATTTTATATTATCTATAATTATTTTAAATTAAATATCTCTTACTATCTCTTCTTACAGGGCTTTGTTGGTGATATATAGAAATGTTGATGACTTATGTTGGTTTATTTATATCCTGCTACTTTGCTAAAATTATTGTTTCTACTAACTTTTTAGTTGAATCTCTAGGGTTTTCCAAGTATATCATCATATCATTTGCAAAAAGAAATAGTTTTATTACCTCATTGCTCATTCTGATTCCTTCAATTTTTTTTCTCCTCTACTCTCATCTCCCTTTGCCTCCCTTCACCTCCCCTCCATTCCTCTCTCACCCCTTAATTTTGTATTTTAGATATCATCCCTTCATATTCAACTTACACCTGTGCCCTCTGTCCATATATGTTCCGACTACCCTAATAATGAGAAAGGTTTTATGAATTACAAATATCATCTTCCCATATAGGAATATAAACAACTTAAACTTATTAAGTCCCTTATGATTTCCCTTTCCTGTTTACCTTTTTATGCTTCTCTTGAGTCTTGTATTTGAAAGTCAAATTTTCTATTCAGCTCTGATCTTTTCATCAAGAATGCTTGAAAGTCCTCTATCTCATTGAATATCCATTCCCCCCCCCCAAAGAATTATACTCAATTTTGCTGGATAGGAGATGCTTTGTTGTAATCCTAGCTCCTTTTCACTCCAGAACATCCTATTCCAAGCCTTCTGATCTTTTAATGTAGAAGCTACTAAATCTTATATTATCCTAACTGTGGCTCCACCATACTTGAATTGTTTCTTTCTGACTGCCCACAATATTTTTCCTTGACCTAGGAACTCTGGAATTTGGCTATAATATTCCTGGCAATTTTCATTTTGGGATCTCCTTCAGGAGATGATCAGGATATTCCTTCAATTTCTAGAATATCGGGGTTCTAGAATATTGAGGCAGGGTTTTTTTTTATCTTTTTTTGAAAGATGATATCTAGGCTCTTTTTGATCATGGCTGTCACTCAGGTGGTCCAATAATTTTTAAATTATCTCTTCTAGATCTATTTTCCAGGTCATTGTTTTTCCAGTGAGATATTTCACATTGTCTTCTTTTTTTTATTCTTTTGGCTTTGTTTTATTGTTTCTTGATTTCTCATAAAGTCATTAGCTTCCATTTTCTCCATTCTAATTTTTAAGGAATTATTTTCTTCAGTGAGCTTTTGGACCTCCTTTTCTATTTGGCCAGTTCTTTTTAAGGCATTCTTCTCTTCGTTGGCTTTTTGTACCCTTTTACCATTTGGCCTAGTCTGTTTATTAAGGTGTTATTTTCGTTTGTATTTTTTTTTGTCTCCTTTGCTGAGCTATTGACTCTTTTTTCATGATTTTCCTTGTATCATTCTCATTTCTGTACCTCTAGTACTTGATTTTCAAAATCCTTTTTGAGTTCTTTCATGTCCTCAGACCAATTTATATTTTTCTTGGATGTAGGAGTTTTGACTATGTGGTCTTCTTCTGAGTGTGTGTTTGA